CATTACATCATTAGTTTTAGATGAAGTGTTCCATGATTCATTGTTTGTGCATAACACCCAGTGCTCCATGCAGAACGTGCCCTCCTCAATACCCAGCACCAGGCTAACCCATCCTCCCACCCCCCTCCCCTCTAGAACCCTCATATAAGTATAGGACATGTATCTTAATTATGGTACATATGTGATAAAATCCTAATTTTCTGCTTTCCCAGAATTGTTACTGAGAAAAATACCACAAACTTCTCAGTGGCCAAAGAAAAATGTGGGTTGAACTCAGGATGGAAATTTTAATAACACCCTGGAGTTTTAGAAAAGCAATGTTTGGGACACACATCACTCGGCTCATTAATTAAAAAAAAAAAAAACTATATTCAGGGTTCTACCAGTTTTCTTAAAATAAACGTTACTTTGGAATTTTTATTCTAGACCACTAATCCTATATATGTCTTTCTGTTGTTTGTTTTTCTGCAGTGAGGAATCTAACCTTCCGAGCATGAAGTTGTATATATAAGGGTCCACTTTTTATATTTAGAGTTGAAAATCGAATTGCAGATTTTACAAGTCTGAGATATGTTTACATATAGCTGCTTCTTCCTGTTTGCAGTAGTACACATGTCCATCTTTTCTCCACTTACATCTGAAATTGGGCAATATGTGAAACCAGTGAGAAGCCTGCAAAAAAAATATAAATCAGTATCTCTTTATCTTATGTGAAGATATGTATTTAAATGGACACATCAGTGATACAGAATGATTGTTCTTGCTCTTTTCTGACTTTGGGCTTGTTAATTGCATGGACAAAAAGTGCCATGAAATAGTTTACATGAAATTGTGACCAAATATGGACTCAAAACTATGAAAATGTACTATACAAACTAACTGATTTTAAAGTTTATCATCGCATCCCTACTCACCTTCACTGTTAGCATTGATTTGTGCCCACACCACCCACTGAAACTGACTAAAAAAGCATGACCGTGTGCCAAGCCTGCTTGTCATTCAGATGCTAGCATGCCGCTTAATGAGTCCTTTGATCACATCTGAGCTTTTATTTCTTTTGTCATCTCAAGGGGGTTACACCATGGCTTATTGCCAAAAAGAGATAAGGTGGCGGAGCGCATACACACAAATGGTCTTGTATTTTGAGGGAGTTGCAGTCCCAACTGCAGACCTCCAACTTCCAGTATTGCGGGCTCACATGGCCACCTTGGTTGAAATATCAAGGGGTTGAGCTGGTTGCCGCCACTATTTTTCCCTGGGCTGCCCTTGACAGTGAAGATAAGGGAAGAGGACTGGTTCGGCATCCTGCACTGTCTCTCCTGTGACCAAGTAGGAAAGAGGTTTACACATGCGGGCACCCAGAACAACAGACTTTAAAAAAAAAACAAAACTGTATTCCAACAAGTGTTAATATGGGTGCTTTTGGAAACTGACAGGGGCATATAGCACTTCTTTTGGGTAGGAGATTCTTGGAATGGCAGCCCCTGTTCCACAGACAAAGGATGCGTACATCCCACCAAAGAGAAGGGGTACCACTCCTGAGAATAGGTCGGCTGAAATATCCTCTTCTGAAATTGTAGGGGAGCTCACCCTACAACCTCTATTGAAGCTGATGCTCTCCTTCCTTCCAAGATCCAACCCATTTCAAACATTTTCTACAAAGTTCTAGAAACAGAAAGATATTTTTCATTCTTTTTTTATGCTTTTCTTTTCTAGTCCCGGGGAATATTAAGAAAAGATTTGTTTCAGTTTTTGTCACATTTGTTTTGAACAATTTTTTTTAAAGTCTTCAAATCCTAATAACTTGGTAGCAATAGTCAAGATGACTTTTTACAAACTTCTCTCTTGTTCTGAATAATCGAAGAGACTATAAAAGAAACTCCACTCTCAGTTCAAAGTTAAGCAATTTCTTGAGTACTTTTTGACTTTTTTTTCATATGATGACTGTAACTTACATAGTGATCATCAGTTAAGTCAAGATTTGGTCACATTTGATAGTATTAACTCTTTTCTATTTCTTATCATTCTATTTAGATCTAAGTTTTGTCCATATTTAGATTTCTTTATCTTTTTTTACATTTCTAAATGTTTGTCTTATGCACAGACCAAATCTGTGTGTCAGAAAGCTGTGAAATATAGTTGCCATAGAGTATTTTTTCATCTATTTGCTCAAAACTTACTTAATTGTATTAGACTGAGCATTTCTTTGCACAGTAAAGAGTTGGTAATGTTTTGAAATGCTTATTCTGAGTGGAAGGGTTACATTAGGAGAAACACCATCAAAGAGGAGTAGTCTCTCTTTCAGCCCATAGGACAATATACTTTCTCTCCTGACTTAATGCCATTTTGTGGGAAAATTTCTAGTTCCATTCATAAATTTTCACCATTAGAGGGGAAATTAGCTCATCACTGGCTTGTGGTGACAACAGTTAAGATATGACTATAAGACAAAGATCCTAAGATGCTTGTGATCTCTTTCATATTGTTTAACCAAATGTTCAATTATACAAAATGCCTTCTTTTTATTTCTAATAAGTTTTTGAGATTGGAAAGATGTCCAAATTATTAGATCAATCTAATTGGTAACATTTCTAGTAACATTCCACACTTGAAGCCAGTTCAGCATTTTTAAAATGATAGAGAGCCTTCCTTTTCCAACCATCTCTTGTTTCACATGGTTAGGAAAAAGTATTGTTCAATGTCTGAAACAATTTGTCTTACATGGTTTGGAAACATGAACCAAAGCAGGTAGAACTACTGTCTCTTCAGGAAAACAAACAGCAGTGTCTTGAAAAAAATCTGGTGGCTATATTTCTTTCTATCTTTCTTTCTACTCCTCTAGTAGAAAGAGGTATTGAGATGAATCACTATTGAAAACTTGCGCAACTTCAAAACAAAATACCTCAACATCAAAGAGAAACACTTTATACACACACACAAAAATTTTTTTGAACATAGCCCTTTACGAATACTCTTCTGTCCTATGTGTATACTGGGTTTTTTGCTCTACAACTGATACGACAACATTGATTTTTATTCTATGAGCAAAGGAAGCTGTAGACTCCTGTTACATTTATTTCCTTGGGAAAAACAAAGAGATGATAGTACTTCTCTTTGTTCAGTGGAATTATTAGGTCTTAACCACCATGGATAATCTTAAACTTTTGGTTACTAAAATATTTCCAGCCATCTATTTTGTCATCAATATAGAGAATCCTCAAATAATTGCTGAATGAACTAATAACTTATGTCTGCTGCTATATGTGTTGGCAGATATCTGTTTTTCTTCAAGATTTCAACCCTTAATTTGTATTATTGGGTAGAGGATTGAGAAAAAAATACATGAAAGACACATTGGAAATAAGTCAAGAGCTACTTCTATTTCTGATAAGCATCTTTTAAGGATGCCAAATTGGTATGTGTTTTAGCTTTACAATTGTTTTCCATTCATGTTGGTGCTAATGCATTTTTTTTCTTTATGAACAATGCAACTCTACTATGGATAATTTCATTTTTCTGCTTAATAGCATTCCTAAACTGTTAGTGTGTGATTTTATTTTTCAAGTTCATGAATTTGCTATAATATGGTTCAATGACCAGTCTTTCCTAATGTAAAACAAAACAGTGTACCTATAGATGATGTGTGTTTACTTGGATCATGGATCCTTTTATTTCATGTTCATTTCATGTACCATATGCCTTTATCAACTTTCTTCCTCATATTTTAGCTTATTTCATTTGATTAAGTCTGACAAAACCAATGTTAGAGAAGTCTAACACATCCATAGAGTACCTGACACACAAATATGCCCCAATTTTTTTTTCTAGCTTTCATTTTCATTATGAGAAGTTGTCTTGGAGGATTTTTCTTTCTTGTTTGATTTTATAGAAAACATAAGAATATCTAGGATTTCTACCAAAAACAAAAAAGTCTGTTCTTGAATTTACTTTCTGTGCATGATGTTCTGATGGGACAGTAAGAACGTATGCATCTGTAGTTCATGTTACAGGTCCTCTGTCTACAATGCATACATATATCTGCTAGTTTGGAAAATGGTCAGAACAGCGTTCAAGACCTATGGAAAAATTGTCCAGTATCTTATGTTTTTATCACTTAAAAAGTGTGCTTAATTTTCCAATTTTTTTTTATGTTACTATTGTACCATAAAAAGCTAATACTGCTTTTCATCCTTTTTTTTTTTTTTTTGGCACTATATATATTATCTTACCCAGAAATAAGTTATGCTTGAATGGTGGGTGGTGTTTTAATCTTTTAATAAGCAATCATAGGAACATGCAAAGATTGATATTTGAAATCTTGTTTTTCTCTTTCTTCATAACGAAGTTACATTAATAATTAATGTTACTAAAGTGAACTTTTTAAATTTCTACCAAAACAAACAAAAAAAACTCTGCTGTCTCTGAAAAATCAAGTCCATAGCAATCTAATCTTATGTTCTCAAAAATAATAATTAAGAATAAGCACATATGATTCTGGCAATTAAAAAATCATTTCTAGTGGAATTAACATACCTAAAATTATTTTAAAATGTGAGGACCTTCCATCCCTACTTTTTCCCACTTTTTGGATATATTTTCATATTGGCTAGATTTACTTTATGCCATAGCAGAGATAAGCTTCCAACTTAAACTTTTGGTGGATTTTGTTTTGCTAATCCAATACTGAAACATTTTAATGGCATTTCTGATTTTTTAAATGTGTTTAATGCATAAGATTCCCTATGCTGCTTTATTGACAGAACTGTCCTTGGGGGAATAGGAAGACTTTTTCAACCTGACCTGTTATGTTTGATTTATCAATAAATTACTAACATTTCTCAAAATGTGGTAGATATTCTCACGTATTTTAGAAATATTAATAAATTGGATTCACAAAAGAATGTCTTACCTATTGTTGACATTTATGTGAATATTCTTTATACTGTTGTAAATGTTTCATGCAACCTAATAACATTTTAAAAAGATGTATGTATCTGATTTTCCATTAGAAAATATTATATTTTTATTTGTATTTTTTACATTTTAAAGTTCATCTCTACGTGCAGCTATTTTTATATTGCCAAAAAATCACATAAATACAAAATGAGGAAAATGAAAAAAAAAAATTTGGCAAGCATTACACTGCATATTTTTCTTAACGTTTTGTGGGCCAGTCTCATGTAATTGATTATTCTAAGAATGTGTTGTGTCTTATCACTGTAAATATGGCACAAACCTGATTTTCTCAATAGTGTACATAATTGAAAGATTGAATTCTCCCTGTTTGACTTCTTATTTCAATTTCGTTATAATTTCTCCAGCTGACAGTGCTGAATCAAAAGACGTGCGGTTTTTGATGTGCAGTTTGGAGATATTTGCATTGTGTTCAGTTTCTAATTTGTTTTTATTTGCTTTTTTAACTTGTTTTCAGGGTTCCTAGTTTGTGAGAAGTTGATCTTCAGAATTATTTTTACACTATTTATGACTTATTTTCATAATGTAAAAAGTGTGTAATTATTACAATATTAATCCAAACTATGGTAATGAATTGTATTGTTATAAAGCTTTATTGATGTTCATGAACACCTGGGCCTGTTTTCTCTGATTTAAACACAGTCCATAAAAAATTTTGTTCTATTCTTCTACCATCCTGTAATGTCACTGTTCAACTTAGTGCACATAACTAGCTATGGTGATTTTCTATTAAAACAACAACAATTACAACAACAACTAGCACTTTCTGTTTATTAGGTTATGCCTCTAGGTCGGGCTTCCCTTCCAAACTCACTTTTTTTTCCAGGATTCTCCATTTTGGTGAATTAAGCTTCCTTATACCAACTGACTCTTAGCTCTACCACATCGAATCAATCATTGTGTGAGTAAAATGCAGTACATAGTAATCACGTAAATGTATTGAATAATGAACGACTGAGTGCCTCCACTAAAGTCACCAGTTGTTTCCCAGTCCTGACTAAAAGAGCATACTTCCCAGTCCTCGTCTTTCCCGCCCTCACCAGCACCACCAGATGTAGTTGTCCACAGCTATCCTCTTAAACACCCTTCTCTTTAGTCCCCATGTCCCTCTCCTCATATTTCCTCCTATTTTTCTTCCTCATTTTCCTTTGCCACTTCTACCTCCTCTCCCTGCTTGTTAAATCGTGACCCTCGGAACTCTGACCTGCATCCTTCCTTTGCTTTTGCTCTTCTCTGACACACTCTAGGAAAGCCTGTTCATTCCCATGAAATCCAAGTTTTTATCTCCATCACAGATTTCCTTCCAACTTCCAGACCAACTGTGATGGGCATGTACCCACATAGCTTATCACCTTCACCTACACACCTGGTTCTCTTCCAGACTTCATATTAGAGTGAACATACGATCCCCCCCTGCCTTCTAAGCAAACATGGTAGAAACTTCAGAACCATTCTGGACACTGCCTACTTCTTGTCACCGACCCGATCCCTCACATAGCATCTAATCCATTACCAATCCCTTCAATTCTACCTCCTAAATGTCTCTCAGATCCACTCCCCCCTTTTTTTCATCCCCATTACTATTGCCTTGGTTCATCTCCCCTCCCCCCATTTTTCCCTTGGACTTTTAGAAAAGCCTTCTAGTTGGCCTCCCTGCCTCTAATAACCACCTCCTCTCCACCTCAAACTCTATGTCACCCTGAAGGTGATGATTCAAAGAAAGCAAATATGGCCATGTCTTATTTACTTGTGAGTTCATCCTCCCATTTCATTTCACATAGAATTTGAGGCAAATTAAAAGAATGCTTATAAAGAAAGTAAAATATATGTTTAAAAATAACCAAGAAAACTATGTCTAAACCAAGTTCAAGATCACAAAGAAAGTTGTGATGAAAGGATATAAGATTTAAAATTTTATGGCTCTGAGCTTCACAGTGTTCATGGAAAAAAGAGAAATAAGTCAGTAACATGTTTACATCATCCATAAAGTGAAAATATACCACAGTACTTTCTCAAAAGAATCAAAGCTGATTGGTAAGAAATTACTTATGTGAGATTTCTTATACAAAATCCTGTCTTTTAGGGCATCCCTATAATGAACATAACAGCAGATTTTTACAATGTTCCTCAGTGTAAGCCAAGTGTACGTGCCAAAAACCACTGAGAACAGCTCTTCAGGAGAATATTAATCATGCCATTCGCCTGCTTAAAATCTTCCAGTAGTCCCCCATTATCATGCAGATACTTACTTTGGTATACAACAAGAGCCTTTTGGGCTCACACTCTACCTCACTTTATAACATCATGTCTTGCTGGTCAGAAACTCTCACCCAAAGGTTTTCCATCTTAAACTATTTGAGGATCCCTCTGGCTGCTCTCTAGGCCAGAAATTGTCTCCCTTCCCATCCCCACTATCCATCTAAAAGACTCTTGCTCTTCCAACACTCAATACACACATCAACTTACTAAAAACCCCTTCCTGCCAACTTTAGATGCTCCACCTCTCTGCTCCAATAATTTTACTTGTCACCTAAACCACATATCCAATTGTTAATAAGTATATGTTTGTCTGTCTCCTCCACTAGATGGTGAGCCAAACATGAACCCAACGCATAGGAGGTTCCCAATAAAAAAAAATTTTTTTTAAGTAGGCTCCACACCCAATGTGGAGCCCAATGCAGGGCTCAAACTCATGACCCTGAGGTCAAGACCTGAGCTGAGATCAAGAGTCAGACACTTAACCAACTGAGCCACCCAGGTACCCCCCAATAAATATTTTTAAATGAATGACAAAAGTTGCAACAACAACAAAACTCACTCGGACTTACCAATTTTATCAATATACACATTGAGCAAAGCAGTCCACACAGCGAATTCCTAGCATTCCAAGTAGTTCTTAAACTAAAGATTCTTAAAGAAAAAATCTTTTTCAAGTCTAAATTAAAAATATGTATGAAGTAGGTGCAGTGTCATCTAATAAGTGGCTAGAGAGGATTCAAAGTTTAAAGAAAGTGGAGAGGATTTGAATTACCTCTACGGAGATTAGGAGCAAAGAGCAGGGAAACACATGATTGCTGAGGGCTATAGAGCAGGCGGTGAAGCTGGGAACCATGGTTTTGTTATGGGACTATTTGAACTTTTGTGTGGTACACTTGGTTTGTCAACCATTTAAATATCAAATATTTACCTTCTAAATCTTCTTTCTCTCAATTTGTGTTTCTTATCTTTCCATTGCCCCTCCATATGAGGAAGCTAGATCTAGTTCAGGAACTCTCAAACTTCAGCATTCATCATACTCCCCTGGAAAGTTTCTGAAAACACACATTGCTGGCCCCGCCCCCTGAGTTTCTGAATCAATAGGTCTGAGATTGGACTTCAGAATTTATATTTCTAACAATGTCCTCAGTAGTGATAATGCTTTGGGTCCAGGGTCCACTCTTTGAGAAGGACTGTTAGTCTAGTCTACCTTAATGGAATGTTGGTGGCATTAATATGAGGGTCACAACCTTCCTTTTGTTGTGAATCATTTTTGGAAATTTTCTCTCATCATCAATATCAACTAAAAGCTTGCTCTTCAGCAATTCTCTCAAGTAGAAGCTGCTAATTCTCCAACAGCCCTCACATACCTTTAGGATAGAAAGAAAGTTGAGCATCCACAATGCTCCTCATTGCCAGTAACAGACAATTAATCCTCCATATATATGATACAAAGCCCTACTTCTTTGAGGCTCATATGACTATCTTTTCCCCACACTCTACTTTTCCTCAATACAGTGTCTGCTGGCCCCTAGGCATTCCCCTACATTCACTGAAGACTTTGGCACCCTGTTCATGGTGATCTTCTTCACTGTTTGTGCTGCTGTCACCAAAGGTGACTTCAGTGTCAACATGGGCAGTGTAACCCACACATTAGTCCATTATCTCCTCAGATCTCATTTTTAATGACTTTTTGCACCTTCAGTTCTGCCACCCCCTCCTCTGACACACTGATTTTGTCAATTCCTGGAACTATTCCAACTCTGGGAATAATATATTGAAACATCTCACTCTGAGCCCTCTCCCTTACCCTGCCAGACCTTCCCACCCAAAAACTCCCACTATATCTGTTCTGGAATCCTACACAACTTCCGTTCCCTTTATCTCTCAGCCCCCTCCCTACTAGGTCCCACACAAGTCCACTGCCTCTCTTCTTGAACTTAGGTTACACAATTCAAATTTTCATCTGCAATGATGCCGATAACTCCATTATCTAATTGTTCTTCCATTCGCCCACTTGAGAAAAGCCAACTCCTATAATAACCCATCTGTCCATCTTCTCTATTTCTTTACCTGGTCTAGTTTGCTTAGTGTCATGGGAGAAAATCACATGGGAATACAGATTGTTCTCACCATAAATTCAAAGTCTTCAAATTCACCTGTGCATTCAACAACTACCAACAACGAACAATCTGTTTCCTTAGTGAAGATGGGTAATTCAAACTTCTCCCCCTCTTCTCTAATCTCCACCCTTCTTGCTCTCTGTGCCTGGTCTTGCATGCACAGAAGAAAAACAATCCACAAAAGAGACTCCCTCAAATCCTTCCACCAAGACTGAAAATGTGCCCGTATCTTTACCGTTAATCTCTTTCTTCACTTCTATTATGATAGAAAATAATGTCACTCTTCCCACTTAAGGCTAACCTCTGTTCCAGATGCTCCACTTCCACCCCAGGCTTTGCAGGGATCTTGTTCTGTTACACCAACTTATTCTCTTCAGACTCCATCCCAATCACATTTAAATATATTCAGGTATCTTCTGTTTTTATAAAAGCTTTTCCTCAACGCCGTGTACCCCTTTAGCTGCTGCCCTCTCTCTTTGCTGCCTCCCCTTCAGAGCTTGGAGGTTGGTTATATACCCAGCCTACCCACTTCTTCACCACCCATTAACTCCTCAATCCACCGATAAGCTCTGCCCCACCAGTCCACCTAACTACACTCTCCCGTAGTAAACTTCTAAAGTCCTACAAATTGAGTTACCATCAATATGCCCCAATCTCTCTCCAAACTCCAGTTTTGATTACATCTGCATACTTCCAGATGTGCACCTCAAACTCAGTATGCGCAGAACCAAACTTGCCCTTTGCCTCCTGACCGTGTTCTCCCTCCTGTGCTCCATATCTCAGGGAGTGGGATCACCACTCACATTGTTGGCAACACCAAAACTTACCCGTGATATCTGACTCAACCCTCTCCCTCACCATCCCCAGTTTCTCCCCATGACCAACTGATTCTCCTGGCTCAATATATACCAGACCTATCATCTTCATAGCATTTCCATGGTGAGAACCAGGTAACTTGTATCTCTTACCAGTATTACTTTAGTAGCAAATCTTATAATACACTTGATCCTTGAGCAATGCATGACTTAGAGGTACCAACCTCCGGATAGTGGAAAATCTGTGAATTACTTTTGACTCCTCCACAACTCAACTACAGATAGCCTACTGTTGACCAGAAGGCTTACCAATAACATAAACACTTAACACATATTTTGTATGTTATATATCTTATACACTGTGTATATACACAATAAAGGAAGCTAGAGAAAAGGAAATGTTAAGAAAATCTTAATGAAAAGAGAATATATTTACAGTTCTGTATTTATATTTTAAAAATTCCACATGAAGTCGACTCACGCAGTTCAGATCTGTGTTGTTCAGGGATCAACTGTAGTTGGTCTTACCTTACACAATAGCCAGAATGATCTTTCCCTACTT